GCTGTATGTTGACGCGCTTCTGTCAGTGACTCCATGCTGATTTTTAGGTTTAATAAACAAACAATCCTCATATTTCAATGCAGGATTTACAGCAGAGTATATTGGCAAACTGGATGGGAGTGCCTAAACTTTGATTTCAAATGATTAATCAGCATTTTGGCCTAAACATGCAGCCAAAAACACAATGCAGGTCAGCAGACTTTAGCACGTCTCTGACGTAGAGCGAAACATTTTACAGAAACGTGGAAGAAAAGGCAAACTTCACATGGTCATCATCATTTCATCACTGGAATATGAGTTATTATAACAGACACAATTTGCTAATAAATATTAATATCATTGAAGACATTAAGTTCATAGAAACATAGAAATCATTGCATACAGTTTACATGAAACGTGTTTGGCAGAATTAAAAAAAGATGCCTGCCAGCAGATTTGGATGCAACACAAACTTCTGACTACACACAAATTCTACTGACGACACGATGCACAGTTTGCACTGCTGTAACTTCACAGCTGGGCTTCATTCAGTGTTGAGCTCCAGAAGTGGCTTACTCTGTCAGGCAAGACAGACAACTCTTGGGGCTCCAGGCAAGTGAGGGTCCCCTTCAGGGCTGACAAACTTGAGACTCCAGCAGAGGTAATGTGCAGAGTCTGCAGTGACAGTATGCTAAACCTGACCTCATATGACTCCACTCACTCACCTCTGGCGAGCAGAAACATGTTTTCTTCAGTGGTTTGACCTCCATTTCCTCCCACATTTCCTCCCCATGTTTACTACAAATGAAAAAGCATTTTCCCTGCTTGTGCAGGTACATATCTACATAAGCAATCATATCAAAAAACCTTTTGATATTTCAGTGTTTTTCCTGGGGGGTGAATGGCACATGAGCAGAACATGGTCGTTAAGACACGCTTGCAAAAGAGATTCTATCTCAAGAGTCGTATTTTTCTGATTCAGTGAAGGTTAAACAGTTTAAAAAATTAAATTTGTGACTGATCTTTATTAACTTATACACACACACAAATTTACAGTAACAGATATATATATATATATATATATATATATATTTTTTTTTACCATTTTTGTGTGTTTCTGTAATGGTTAAACCAAGTTTTTAAT